TTGTTTGGGAAGTCACTAAGGTTCATCTTCGGATCTGTAATATCCCCTAGTTCTTCTTCCGTTGGATTCTATAATGAATGTTCCAAGTTTGAACCATTTTTCTTTGCACACCTCTTTGTCTGATTTCGTTGAAAAGTCCTATTCTTTTGACCTTTTGACTTCCTTGAAGATGATAATTTTTTTTTATTTTTATCGAGAGTATTCTTAGGTGACTTCGGTCATTTAATATATAATTAACTATAGGGGTTTGCCATTATAGGAAGCTTTTTCGAACCTAACTTAATATAAACCTTATTTAATTTTTCATATTAAATAGAGAAAATTGTCGGCAAATAAAATGGTTTCGCAGACCAAACAGACGTCATATATTTTTTAGTTTATTTGATCGAGCATCATCATCAAGTTTTGTGCTTATCTTTCGGGATAAATACAGGATTTGAATGCTTGTTTACTAAATATAATGCTTTTTCGTTTAAACTATGAAAAGTATGGGGTCAGCTTGATTTCATATTTTTCTAAACTGAAATCTATATGTAAATTAAAACGTCCTTCCGATAAATTAAAACGTCCTTCCGAAGCGGGGATCTTGATTTCGGTGACCAACAGCTTCTTACGGGCAACTCCTCCAACCAAAATAGTACCGACATCGATATGATGCAAACAAGTCTTTAAATCACCATGCTTAAAAAAATGTACATGGGGCTTGAAGTACCTGCAAATAAAAGCTCACAATACATAAGATTTATCTATCGACACGTCCTATATTTAAACAAAGCATTATCATATCCTTTGTAAACTTGAAGCAAGCCACCACTAATCAAAATGATAATAACTCCAAAGTTTGTAAGAGTGGCACTCATAGTCTCCATAACAATAAATGTGTCAAATTTCAATCTTTGTAGAAGCTAAAATTTTTACCCGTTTATGCTTTACCTTTATTTGGAACAGGGAATTTGGACGATAGGAGAAGCGATGAGGGATAGGAGATGCTTGAGAGGGGAGATGCGAGACTGAGCGAGAGGGATGGATGAGCGTTGTGAGTGGTAGTGTGACAGCTCGATCTGTCAGGATGCAAAAGAATTGGGTGGAGAGTAGAGGGGAAGAAAGGAGATTGAGGGCAATAGGGAGAAAGTGTGGTCTGTTTCGTGTTCTGTCAGGACATTTCACCGTAAAAAAGCTGAGGGAGGAAGTTGTTGCATTTTCGGCGGACTAGGAGGCCTAGGAATTTTCAGTTCCAACGAGACATATAGGTAGGATATTGCTTTGTTAGGAAAGGTCGTCGAAGGAAAGCCGAGGGAGAGACTGTTGTGTTTTTGTTTGCAGGAGAACTTGGAATTCTCAGTTTTAGTGAGAGAAAGAGAGGTATGATGAGAGAGGGAGCGTAAGTTGGTTTTATGAGAGGAAAAAAATGATGATCGGAGTGTCATTAGAGGTGGGAGAAATGGTCGTCGCACTTGGGGGGTGATAGGTGGCAGACGTGAGCTTCGGTGAGCAAAGTGCAAGGCTTCGACTTCCATTTGAGAGTAAAGAAGATAGAGAAAAAAAAGCTTTTCACGTGAAGCAGGAGAGTGGCAGCTTACGGGTTCATGATTAGTTGTTTATGATTTAACTCCCTTATTATTATTATTATTTTATTTCTTCAGCTTTATTGGTTGAAATGGGTGGTTGAGGAATATGGATGCTTTGGATTGGGCGGTGGAACTTTTTAATTTAAGCATCTAAATTTATGTTCCACCAAATAGTATGCAAAATTTTTGTAATAGGGTGTCCTCCCTAAGCGAAGTTGACATTCGTATATGCTTGTGTGGTCCGTTTTGCAAACGGCGATCGTTTGAGTGATTTCGTCAACGATCGAGATAATTTAATTTCAAATATGTGCTTCATTTCGGCTGCTAGTTGATTTCATCACGCTTGTTTCTTTCGATCATAATAGACCACTTCTTAGACAATCTTGACTCTCCAAATGGCGCCCGTGCAATGAATTTCATGAACAAAGATCATCTTGGCAGTTTCAATAGTGGTTAAAGTGAGTTGGTCATTAACCACGAGTCGTCGTATTCATTATGCTTCATTCGCCTTATATCCGATCGACTCAATTTATGAAATATATGTCAAAACCAACAAATGCCCCCAAACAATTATGATTCACGCATTGATCGATCTATATTTGTTGTCATTTCTTTGCTTTTCTTAGTAGACTTGCTTGCACTTTCATATTACTAATTTTCTTTTATTTTTCTAATAGATGATGTTTATTTGGAGATAATATGTTGATATGACACCTAATGATCCCAGAGAGGAGGCCATGTCAGCCGCCATTGATGAGCAAGATCCTCGAGGAGACACTGATATTCGAGAAAGGTTTAAGCAACATGTAAAGATGTTGAAAGGATGTGATTTTTATCGTGATTTCCTTACACATTCTCTAACACTTCTTGATTGTACACTTGACTCTTCTATCTCTCACGATCCTATAAAATTATTGTTGACCATCAAATTGAAATATGGAGATTATAATCCTGTGGATAGTACTGATGACCAGTTGAGTCATGGAGTATGTGATACTTTGCATCTTGTTGTTGACACATTTAAGGAGACTAGGCAATCCGAGTTATTGAGCAATCGTTGGTTACAGTAGAACTTATCATATTGGCCTTGATATTCATTAGTGGGCAAAGTTCTTAGCCCCCCTCCTAAACATGAAGCTTCAATTAGGTATATTTTGCAAGCTCATCATGATACATCATGTATTCGTCCTTGTTCAACTATGGAAGCCTTACTCCGTCATGGATTCGGGGTGTGGTCGAGTTTTTGGACATTGACAACAACACTTACTGGATCAATTCTGAAGAGGTGAAATCACATTGTGGGAGTTGCAAGTTGTGACTGGACATCCGATATTTGGTTGTCTTTATGAGGAGTGTATTCCTTTGGACGAGGAGCTTTTTCATTAGCAACCCTCAACTGTTGGGAATCATTGAGGAGTGTCAGTTCTATCTTACATGTATCTTGAGCTTTTGTGCCATTATCGACGGACATATAGAGCGGCTGGTTTGTCAAGATGTTCTCATGCTACTATCCCAGTGAGTGCTTGGAGTTCTAGCTTTTTGCGAGGTGTATTCGTTCAACAAACTGCTTTGTTGAACGATCCATTTCAAATTCATTCACAAGATGATAGTTATTCGTCAGAAGAAACTGTAGAGCCATTCAAGTGTGCGTGACGACTTATTATTAGCAATATTTTTAACTACTTGGATATGCACTTTTATTCTGCCCCTCATAAGAGACTGTACGATCTATTGCCCTTATAGCAGCTCATCGGATTTTTTGAGGCAACAGACTTTCTATAGCTCATACAGTATCAGCTAGGATATTGAGAGTTTTCATGGTTTCTCTGAAAAACCTTTGCATGATCTACATGATCTTACTTTGTCTTGGCCATATGTTCATGCTCGGGTACTTTTTCATGTACATGGAGCTTTCACATGCTTGGAGTTTCTTTCGTATTTTGCAAAGAGTGGATATCCTATAGTAATGCATTTGTCTCATACAAAATCTACTATGGAATGAGAGCGTGTACTCCTCTTTTTCTTTGCGTCACACTTGATTATGGATAGAATTTTCATTGGTTTGTCAACCAGATATATTTGTTCTTCCTCCTCATCTGAGGGAGGTAGAGCTTATAAGCAGGATTGATAGAAGAGACGGATGCAAACTACTTCATAGTTGGCGAACATTGAAAGTTGTCGTTTACTTCATTAGTAGGCTCCCAGGCTGGTTATGTTGTCAATTTGGTCGCTCGATCATTTTAGAGAGGCTAGGTGTATGAAGTGTGTGTGGGTGTGTGAATATTTGATGCATTTTGAGCCCTGTAGAGGGGCTATTTTTCTCTCTCAGAATAGGCCCCGTGTTAGTTTATATGGCTTCATTTTAAAATTAGTTTGACGGATTTCCCTCTCGATAATTTCTTCTACTTACATGCTGAACTGGGAGTTTCATCCACCTTTTGATGATTTATAGTTGATGATCATGATTCTGACGTTGAGTGTATTGCCATTTCCAGACTTCATAACTTATTTTACAGCCCAAAAAGTTGGAGATGCCACAGTTTTTTTTTTGTCCTTGTTATACAAGTAATTTTGTGTTTTTCATACTTTATTTTGTCTTTGTTATACAAGTAATTTTGTGTTTTTCATACTTTATAAGCACCTTATTATCGTCAGGGTTTTTTCAGTCATTTTGTATCGAGTATTTCAGTTTGTTATTTAAGATCCTTGTCTATTTAATTTTAATCTTTAGGCTGAAATTTTGTCATATGATGTTGATGATATCCTGGTTCTTCTTTTCTCCTTATCCCATCTACCTACAATCTTATTTTAATTTGATATGGGGATAGTCTGTCCTGTCACTATTGAGAAAAGAAAGAATAAGCTATGGTTGATGATTTCTTGTTATTTTCATTATCTTTGAAGGTTGAACTAAGCACCATATGTACTTCACAAAAAGTGTGACCAGAATGGAAATATTATAAAGTATGTCATGAATTCGTAGCTTCTGTTGTTGGTGATATTTTTTTCTTAAAAATTGTTAACTGCTAGTGTTTTGCAGAAAAAGAAAAGAATTACCATTGCATGTATCTAGTGTGCTGGTACACCTTTTATGTATGGCGATAATTTGTAACTTATAGGGGTGGCAGTAGAGGAAATAATTAAACCAGTTGCTGTTCAATTTGATGTCCTACTTTTTTCATCATTCTCAAATGAGTAGATGCTTTTTCAAGGCTGCCAAAATCAGATATAGATTCTTTAGCTTGAGAAGCTTTTTATTGTATTTTATGACAATATTTCTTCTTCTTTGGTTCGGAGGATTGCGCTCTTGTCTCTTTCTCAGTCCCAGTTTATGATCTCTATTTCATTTCTTCCCATCAAATTTTTTATGTAATATATATATATATATATATTATGGTGCTCTAATTTTGTTTGTCTAATTTCTGCTTGCAGTATCCAGATGCCAAAAACGTTTGCTGTTCATCTTGGAAATAGCAAAGAATTGATGGAAATTGCTGAAGATTATGTTGCCCAGAGGGTGCTCAGGGAGCATATACGTGAATCTCTTGGAGTTCGAAATGAAGATCTCCTCTTTGCCATTATAAACAGTATTTTCTTGTTTATTTTACTTGAATATCTGTTTCCTCCAATTATGAAAGAATTTGGTATAAGAACGTGAAATAGGATATGCTTATAGCAGGTGTGGGCCTTTAGCCATTTGCCCATGCTTAAATTTTGAATTCCTTAAAGAGGATTATCATTTTCTTAAATTTGCCCCCCTTCAATAAATGGATTTACCCTCCCTGAAATTATGTGTATGATCACCAAACAGCAGTCAGCTGAAGGATTGAAAAAGAGTATATATTTCCAAATCTCGATGTAGTTGATTCAAAGAACTTTATAGTGACAGGATTTGTACAAAATAGGCGAGGGAAACTTGTTTGCTTATCTTCTATATTAGAATAAACATTATTTGTCTAGTGTTGAAGGAATAAATAAGCTTGTAATTTGATAGTGGCTAGGATGCAATGCTACTTCTCTGAATAATTGAAATTGCAGGCGTATCACGTGGAAAGGGACAAGATTTATTTCTTCAGTCATTTTATGAAAGTCTTCAATTGATCCGAGAACAAAAGTTTGAAGCGCCTGCAATTCATGCTTTGGTAGTTGGAAGTGATATGAATGCTCAGACAAAGTTTGAAGGAGAACTTAGAAACTTCGTGGCAATGCAAGAAATTCAGGACAGAGTTCACTTTGTCAATAAGACACTTACAGTTACTCCATACTTGGCTGCAATTGATGTGCTTGTGCAAAATTCTCAGGTATAGTTATTGGCCATTCTTCAAACAATAGCTTTTTAAGATCTTTTTTTATTAAATGAATGGTTTCATCCATCCTTAAAATTTGAGTAAAGGGCCAAAATAGTCCCTTTTCAAATTAATGGTTTCATGATCATGAGCAACACATTTGGTAGATTAGCTTGTCCATTTTCATGGGTGTTGTTGTTTTTTTATTTGATTTTGAAGAGCACTGTAAAACAACAAAACATATTTACTAGGAGTTTTAACTGGATGCTTCAGTTTTTCATTAACAAGAAGTTTCAGGCAGAGTCTATTTTCCACTCAGTATTTATTTACTTTTGCCAAACTTCCCTAAACATTTTCCTTGGAATGTCACCTTTAATATAACTTGCTGGTATATCTGAAAAATATTTCCTTTGGTCCCTGGGATTACAAATATGTTGGACAACGTAGATTTCTAATCTCCCTTCTGTGCAGGCAAGAGGAGAATGCTTTGGAAGGATAACTATAGAAGCTATGGCATTTCAGTTGCCAGTGCTGGTAAGTCTCCCATCAATGAAGGGATGCTACTAACTCATTCATTGTTTTTGAACTCCGCAAATCTTACTAAAAAATCTCTCAAAAATGATGAAAAGTTCTAAAAGATGATTTTGACCAAATAATGAATAGGGCACGGCTGCTGGTGGAACTACTGAAATTGTTGTTGATGGTTTGACCGGTTTGCTTCATCCTGTGGGGAAGGAGGGCGTTATTCCACTAGCGAAGAACATTGTGGAGCTCGTCGCTCATGTTGAGACAAGGCTGAGCATGGGTAAAGAAGGCTACAGGAGGGTGAAAGAAAGGTTTATGGAGTATCACATGACTGAGAGGATAGCTTTAGTTCTCAAAGAAGTTCTTCACCACCCATCTGCTTGAAATCCCTTTTCCTTATTTTGTAAATTTCAATTTTGAAATGAGTTTGATTTGTTTTGTATAGAGGTGATTCCTCCATTTATTTATTTTTCCTTGTCTTGCAGACTTACATATCATCAAATTGAAGAAAACTGTTTTTTTTAAGAATTTCATATTGAAGGAATGATATCAGCCACTATCTGTCTCTCAAGTGTATGCCCTCTTTACTATCAGCATCCTACCAGCTACATTTTGTTTGATAAAAAAGAAGGGATATTTACATACAATCACATAAATTTTATAAATTTACATATATAACACCTAAAGTTTGACATTTGGCGTCATAAATTATGCATGAAAAAAATTTGTTTTACTTTCAAATGACAGTAATGATGATATTTTTAATGTAATATTAAAGATTTAAATGGTATACATGCAAATATGAAAGCAGTGCCCCCCAAAAAGAAAAAAATAAGATAAGATAGTAAGAGGATTCATTTATAGAAAAAAAAATCAGCACAATATGAAATAAAGACCAAAGTTTTTCATTTCTACAACTAGAGAGAAGCAAGCATCTGCTGCTGTTCAAACTAAAATAGACTGTGAAGTCATTGACTGCTACAGAACAACCACATACACATACAAATCTATAGCAGATACTTCCAAAATGCGGGTCGGTCCCTCGATATAACAAGCACCCTCGAATCCATATAATCAAACGTCGGTCGAAATAAATCATCTGGACCAATAGTTTCCTTCACTGCATCTGTGTTTCCATGGTCATTCAAAGCATCAAACACAAACAGTCCCATGCCACATATGCCCATAACAATATTGGAGTTTCCCCAAACTTGAGTGATTGATGAGTGATGATAATGAGAGTTGAATTCTGGCATCAGATAGGTGGCCACAAGACTCGCTTTGCGGAGCGAAAAATGCTCGACATGTGAGCGCAGGCTGCCGCTCTTCACAGATAATGTTCCTTCAGTGCTCCCGAGTAAAATGAAGTCGCCGCGGGAGAAGATGGAGAGAGCATTGGCGCCATGCCTGGATATCTTGAGTCCTATGCCCGAAGGAACTCGAAAATCAAACACATTAAGACTATCCTGAGTGCATACAACACCATCGTTCCCCTCCACTTCAGTAGAGCTCGCCCTGCATTAGAAGCATAAATCCTTAGCAAATTGTACTCCGGGTTTAAAAGCTAAGATCAAACCGCAAGACGGGAATTCTTGAAACGAGAAGGTTGGCTTTGCAAATGTTTGGGTTGGGATGGCACCATTTTTAAAAAAAATACAAATGTAAGCCTAGCCTACTCAATAAATTAAATTAAGATGGTTGGTTCACAGTAATTTGGATAGCATTACATTAAGGGGCATTTACATACATCCCACCCAATTCTTAAGTTATTTGGATAGCATTTACACACATACATTAAGGGGCATTTACATATCTAACACTAAACATCAATATTTTTTTAATGTTATTCCACCCAAATCTTTCATAACACATCAATAGTAACACCATTTTTAACTTTTAAAAAGTGATATGCACTTTTTCATGCATAGATAAGGTGGCATGCATGTAAAAACTGAAGTCTAGAAATTAGATATGTAAATACATAGGAACTAAGTGGCATTGACGTAAATCTTCCTACATTTAAATAAATGTTATTCACAATAGTGTTACCTATCAAGTGTTATTGAATCTCTTCAGTATAATCCTACTCGAAGAATATTAAGAATGACAGTCGTGTTACTATTTATTTTAGGGAAATTTATATGCATACCACATAATTTTATGCATGTACATATCGAACACCTAAAGTTTGACATTCACATTTACAATACCTTGATATTATAAACCTATGCATATGTGCATTTCGCTTTTAAAATATTAATTAATAATAATGGTGTTAAAGATTTGAGGGTTATGCATGTAAATACCATATTTTAGGAGTTAGAATGTAAATTTATATGAGAATTGTATGGTACGTAAAAGCCCGTTTATTTTAACAATCATTAGCTTTAAAATCTAGACATCATCATTTTGGAAGGACATTTAGATGTAATCAATGAGAAGTTAAGTCTTAGCTCTGTAACTGTGTTATTTAATGGTGCTACCAAACCAAACAACAATGTTAATAACATAACATAAAATAGCATATGCTACTACGCTAGTGAATCAAACAGGCACAAATTTTCATCTTTAAATACTAATTGGGCCTATAATTTTGCATAACTAGAAGCTTGGTAAAATTTTGTAAAAATCATTGCACCTACCGTAGGAAAATTGGTAAAACTATTATGCATTATCACGTATGTAGAGAATCATCATTCTTAATGAAAAAAGAACACCAAAAAGTTGCCCACATCGAAATTTAACTTACAAGAACAAAAAGAATGAGAAGTTTCGGAGAGAAATGCCACAATGAAACAAGAAATCACCTTTGACGGATGCCAGCGCCTATCTCAGCATCTGTGTTGTTCACATGAAGCGAATATATTTTTTTGCCAACAAAAGGTACAGATAGGGTTGGCTGTGGATTGAGCGAATTAACATCCCAAAGAGTAATGGCTTCCCTCTCCGCTATTATAACCTTCCCCCTGTTCCTCCATTGCAGAGGGCTTGAGTATTCCATCTCAGCAACCAAACCACTCGCTTCCCACGTCATCACCAGATCACCGTCACGGATATCATAAGCATGCACGACCTTCTGCCCGCTCGATGTGGAGATCAGCAATGGTCCACACGGCCTACACCAATTAGATCGATTTTCCAATGCGTGTAGGGGGAGCTTCTGGTAATGGAAGACACCTCAGTTCTGCTTGATGAGCCTGAAAAGGTATTTTCTTTCCCCCCCACAACACGAGAAGCTTTAACATCTTTTGTGTAGAAGTCCCAGGAACAAAATCCAGACTCTAAAGCATTTCCAGCTGATGCTGCAACAACATATTGTCCAGAGCATCCATCGATTCCAGGTGCACGAATTAACCAACAGTCGCCCCATAAATTACTCGGAAAACCAGTTGGAGATTTGTATTCAGACTTCACCTATTACAGGCATGGGTCTCGGGTCAAATTCAATCCAAAATAGAGAAGAAAATTGATGACAAGAAGGTAAGAATAAGAGCAATTTTCAATGAATGGATAATTTAATAAAGAAATATTTACATGCACACCACTCAATTCCTAAGGATTTACGTATCTAACACCAAATTTTCAATTTTTACAATTTATACACACACGCACGCACACACACTTATGCATAGAAAGGTGTAATTCACTTTTTAAAAGTTTAAAAAGTGGTATTTTTGAAGTGATAGAAAGATTTGGGTGGTGAAAATGTAAAAACTAAAGTATTGGTGTTAGATAAGTAAATATATAGGAATTGGCTGGTATGCATGTAAATGCCCTGTCATGGATGTCAAGCAAACGAATATCATGCATTTGGAGTAACTCTTTAAAACAGTTTGACAAAAGTGGCATCATCCTTCAGCTGATATGGTATTAGAAATGGTTAAGGACAGAAAGAATTGTAATTTTCAAAAAACGAACTTCGAAAAAAATGGGAGAATTTACATACATAGCACACAGGTCTTATGCATTTACATATATCACACTTAAACTTTCATACTTATACGCATAGCACTCAAACCATTAATATCACATCAAAAATAGTACTATTACCACTTTTTAAGTCAATGCACCTTTTTATGCATAGGTTTAAACCAACAAAGTTCTATGTATGTAAATATGGAAGTATGGATGTGAGAAATGTAAATACATAAGAATTCAGTGCTACGAATGTAAATTTCCCAAAAATAGCACAAGGATTTTTATGACAGTGGCATGCCTCTGAGTTGGAAATGTCATAGTAGGAACAAGAATTATCATCGTGAGCAAGAAGAACAGCTCCTCCAGAAACAAACCATCCCCCAGTTGAAACCTTCCTACCAATTTCAGACAGCTGATGAATATTAGACTCCTCGGTACCTATACATGACATTGATGGAGGATAATTCTCTGGAGTACCAACTTCTTCAATTTTTTCATTAGATTCCAAATCAACCTCCTGTTGTTGCCCTCTAGTCATGCTCCTTGAATCATTTTGAACAGATGATATATTCTCAGGTTGCATTTTGTTCACCATGCCATGAGTGAATTGGATGTTTACATCAAACTTTTTAGGTTTAGACTGCTCTTCTCTTAAAGAAGCCAAAAAGTCCAGTCCAATGAGGTTTTCATCAGTCAAACCATCATCGATATTTTGGCCTCCATTAATCCTCAAACAAGCCGGTTCACAGATACTACCCTGTTCTGCTGAGATGACCGATGAAAGGCGATCCCTCATTAACTTATGATGTGGGAAGAACCTAGCTTCCAGTTCATCAAGGTTCGAGCTTTTTATGGAAGGTAATGAATTCCTTGTTTTCTGTGACAGATTTGAAACTACACAATCGTCAAGTTTGACTGAAGACGAAGAAAATGAGTCAAATTTAGCCCCATCTTTAATGTCATGCACTGCTTTTTCAACCCCAGATATTTTCTTCTGGATGTCAGAAAGAACTAGACTTGATTTACCTGGTTTGTTCTTGTCTAACATGTCTTTGGTCTGCTTGATCTCCATGGCTATTTTAAGAACTTTAGATTCTAGTAGTGCAAGCTTCTCATGGAGGTTGCTCTGATAGCCATTAGCAGTAGCTGCAGAGCAAACCTCCTTCACGGCTTCCACCCCATCATTTCCCTTAGCTACTACTGTTTCAAAACCTAAATTCAAGCAATTTTTCTCAATATGAACTGCTGTATTATCAACATGAACCCCTCCTCCCGTCTCGCAGAGGTTTTTAGAAATCAAATCCAAGGCCCCCTTGTTCATTAAGCTCTGAGCATGGCCCGCATCATCTTTGTCGCTTCCCACTGTTTCATTTGCATCGACCGAAACAACTTCGTCTGCGTGACTTTCTAAAACCATAACCCCATTGCTCCCGATCCTATCAGCTGGCTTCGCGTTAAAACCAGAAAAATCTTTCCTGACAAAGTTTTGAGAATCAGAGTGACCAATGTCCAATTCTTCAGCTTTACGAGCAACTTTCTTTAAAGCCTTATAAGAACACTGCTGAGGCTTTGCGCCCAGAAATCCTTTCGATTTGCAGACATCTGTAACCCCTCTCATCAAGTTCACATATTTCTCACTGTTTACACCAGAATTCTTAACCAGTTGGCATTTTCCCGCCAATTCCTTATCCAAAGTCCTAAATCCAGAAAAGCTTCTTCTTTCCGGGAAGCCAGAAAGTCTAGGGATGTTATCGCAACGAAAATCAGTAACTTTACCTCTGGAGAGGGAACATGCAGAGCGGATGACAGCGGCTGCGGGCTTCTGGGCATGCTTGAGCGGCGGATTCTCAGATCGAGCAACGGAAGGCCGGCCGGCTGAGAGGGGTCTTGGTTTATCTTTTCCGGTAAAAGAGCCGGATATAGACGGCCGACCTGCGGAGATGGGCCGGGGATTCTCCTTCCCATTATGGTCGAGCCGAGGAATAGAGGGCCGACAGACAGAGGTGGATCGTGGGAGCTCTTTCTGGGGTGCAGCGAGGGGGATACACTGCGATCTTGGCTTGTCCTGGTGACAATTAAGGGATAGGGTTTTTCCGGGCTTGGAAGCGGTGATCTTTCCACCCGCTCCTCCCCTCTCTTTGAGCCTGGAGGACATTTCTCTAGGGTTTAGGAGCGAGAGGGAGCGGTCCAGTGGTGGTGTGGTTGGATGATAAGAGAGAGAGAGAGAGAGAGAGAGAGAGAGTGTGCGTGTGTGTGTTGACTGTGTGCCGGTGTAAATGCGATTTTGAATTTCAAATCAAAAATGGCTCTGCGATTGAAGGGCCGAAATTTTAGATGGAAACTTGTATTATATCATTTTCTTTTTTTTTATTTTTACTATTAACATAAAATATTAAATATAACATTTTAATTATTCAAATTTCTATAACATTTAATCACTCTTTTTTACTCTCTAGTCAAGATTTTAAATAAAAATTTTGAGTGATTAAAATATTATATTTAAAATTTAGGTGATTATGTTATATTTAATTTTTTTGTTGCTATTATATATTTTTTAATGAAAAAAAAAAGTTTGTAAGGCTTTGCAAATCAGACCAGATGTCAAAGCTAAAGATGAAGATGTTCAAGATTTATTGGTTCGATTCATTAGTTTTATCAGGGTCAAACCAATAGTTGAATAAAATAATGTAATAAATAAATAATTAATTAATTAAATATGATCGAAATAATGTAATAATACAAATATAAAAAAAGGTAAATAAATAAAATACAATCACAACTAATATATTTGTAAATACAACCGCATATTTAAAACTACTAACCTATCTTTTATACTTATGCATGAAAATGTGCATTTCATTTTTTAAAAATAAAAATAATTTCATTTTTTATGTGATATTAAATATTTGAATATTGTGTATGTAAATATGAAAGTTTATGTGTGAGTATGAAAATTCTAAAAATGAGAAGGAAAATTATAACTAAACAAAAGTGTGAAAAACTCAAACCTTCTCATAGACAAATGAGTTTCCTTTGGATGGTGAAGCATTCTTATACAGAGTATTGAGCCACCATCATCATTTAGTATATCAGTATACAAATTATTCAGCATCAGAAATTAAACCAAGACAAATCTAGATTTTAAATGAATAAATTTATAAGAATTCAAACGCATGTATGAAAATCCTTTTTGTTTCATTTTTTAGAAAATGAATAAACATTCTAACATCCCTTTTCCTTAAAAATATGATTCTCCCTATGAAATTTCCAAATATCAAAAAGAAAATTAAAATAAAATAAAAATAAGAAAGCATACACAAACTGACTCATAGACAAATGAGTTTTCTTTGAAGAGCGAAGAGTTACTTATATACTTATGCACAGCACAAAGTTAAGGCCACCTTCATTCGTTGGTATATCGATATATGGATTATTCAACAGCTAAAATTAAACCAAGATGGATTTCACCTTCCACTAAGTTGCAAGAATCCATACAATTTAAGGGCTCATCAAATTCCCTGAATATATAGAAATTTGGGGAATCAAAAGCTCATATTTACCGTACAATTACTATGTTCGCCCATTGCACGCAGAGATGCGTGCGGTGGAGATGCGTGCGGTGGGCCAATAAAAACTCCTCATTTACCAAAAAGTGTATGTCAGTGAACCCACTTTTAATTTTTTTTTAATTTCATTGGACGTCGTCCGCATGCAATAAGAGCTCTATATTTACCTATGTAATTTCATTGGACGCCGTCCGCATGCAATAAGAGCTCTATATTTACCTATGTTCCATAAAAAAATCATCTTACCAGCCAATTCTCAGTGGTTACCCTCAAAGACTTGGGTCATCTAAGGGACTCTAACATCGTGGCATGAGAAGAGTGCCAATCTCTAAATCACCACAATAAAAGAAAAATCACCATCGTATGATTGTCATGATCAACTTAAATGATGATTCCAACATATTGTTAAATCATATGGTTGTAAATATTTTAATTTTGATGTTGAAAATATAAATATATAAAAAATGTATGGTATGCATGTCAATCCCATATTTTTATACATACATAGAAAACTAGAAAAATATGATTGCAGAACAAGATATGCCCGGATCCATGCAAAATTTATAGAATTCTGCATCCGGTTGACTATGATGGGAAAAAGAAGATCCACACCATTCCAAATAAGAACCTTTGCATTTAGTCACAAAAAAAAATAAAAGTAAATAAATAAAATAAAATAAAATAAAATAAAATAAAAAAAGAACTTATAGGGAAGAAGGAAGAAAATGATTAAAGCAGGAGAGGAAAGAAAAAGGCTTCTCACATTGGTCGTTCCTGCAAGTGAAACACTTCTTCCTTCAACTCCTTTGGCTTCAGAAGAATATGCCCATCAGGTGCAAAGATCCCACCATGCTTCTCAGCTCCATACTATGGCTTTGTGCTCATTAGGGCCGACCAAACAAGCTCGTGGCTACGAGCCTAAAAGCGAAGTGAGATTTGGTTGCCTTTTTGCGACTCATATATCGCAAAAATTGATTCCTATGAACCAAAAGATCCCGTGAAACATCCTCAATTTTCCGGTTTGACGAGCTTTTCGCTAGTCTGGTGTGAGGAGCATGTTTTAGCCAAATCGGAACCGAGCTTGGGAGTAGTTCACGATAAAACGGATTGAACTGGCTGTTCTTATTCAGTTTGTAAACCATTGCACCCGATCAAAACATCAATGAACAAAAATACATAAATACATAAAAAAATAAACTAATCACAATAATGTTCCGCACATCTAAAGCTTCAAGTAAAAAGATGTTTTCTTCACCAACCAAAGAACTTCCAACTCTACCGAATCAGAATAATCTTCGACAAAGAACCTCAATTGAACCCAACAAGAGAAAAATTTGAATGAAAGAGCATTCACTACAAATGAACCCAACATCAGATGAACACAACATTAGATGAATGGATGAAGTTCATCAAAATGAAAGATACGAATCCAACGAACTTACAAAATAACAAATGAACCCCACGTCCAACAGTCAAGAGAATCCTGCAAGAATCTTAAGAAAAACAACCAAAATCTGAAAGATAAAGAATGAAAAAAATATTACAATGAGATCAATATATCTAACGCCATATATAATTATTTAAAATCCTTCCAAGAAATAAAACTACATCTAGGTTAACCGGAGAATTAACTGTGCAACAAAAATATATCAACTTATGCTCTAATTATATCACTAGTTCTGTAAGTTGAAACAAAATTCAACAAAGAAGCCAATAATTAAATATCTGTAACAAAGACTTATAAAAAAACACAAAAATCAAAACAGAAAGTTGAGAGATTAGCCAAGGCATATATCTTATAATGGTTGAGTTCAACTAAAATGTTTGAATAACATTATAGCCGAAAAATCAGAAAAAAAACTAAATATAATAATTATTCTTATATAAAAAAAAAACCACCATTTCTTGAAGTTGAAAGAAGTTATACTAAAAGAAACATACAAGTGAAGTACATATTCAGATGAGTGCTACATCTCCGGGAAAAGAAAGAGAATGAAAGTTCAAAGAAAACAACTGAGCCACGTACGAACACCGAGGCAAAATATGAAGGTTTGATTCATGGATTAGAGCTAGCCATCTAAATGAACATAAAAAATATCAAGGTATATGGGGCCAATCCGACACTGTCTTGATATTGCACATCCTCAAACTTCTCATGTAGATGATTTGTTCTCCTCCCATTATGCGTTGACAATTCTTCCTGTGGGGAAGGACACTCTTCCAGTTGAACCCGTTCCCCTCCCGTGATTGGGGTTCCTCCTAAGGGCGCGACTGCTTCGAGTACTTCCATGAACTGTCTTGACATATGATTTGTTATCCGAGTCCTCAGGTCTTGCAGTCCTTACTGGACGAATTCCTCCATGTATTCTGTAGTGCAACCTCCTTCCATTAAGTTTCTCTTATTAGTCTTTACTTGTTGTTGCTGATTTTGGGCTCCTGTTCTTGTTGTTGGCATGTCTCCATGCTCGCCGCACCTAAAATAATGTTGAATCCAAAAGTGTCTTGAAAACACACACAAGGAATAAAACGTACAAAGAGAGAAAGAAGAAATGATAATGAACAGTAAATAGTTAGTAAACCCTTAATTATGAAAACATTTTCTTTATAGACATAGGTCATTGGTTTTATAAAATTACATGCTAGTTCCTCATCATTAACTTTTTTGGAGAGGCCTTTTAGTAAGTTACAAGAATATCAAATACAACAAGATCGATTGATTCGTTTGGTGGGTGGGAATCTTGTCGATTGACCGCTTTTCATTTACTTATCAATTATTGATCATGGTAGAATCTTATGGCGATCATTTCAATTGAAATCATTATTCGTTCAAAGGGACGAAGTCTTTCGATACTCACTCCTTTCTTCTAAACTGTCCGATTATCTTGAGATTCATGCCTATGTATTTTTTTTTATACATGTAGTATCTATGTAAATATCTTTTATTTTTTTATTTTTTCGCGGGTGAAAAGACCGACACAATCTCCGGCTTCTGAGTTCGCTAGTTTCGTCAATCCAGCAAGAGCTTTCGTTCGGTTTTATTCACTCTATTTCGCCAGCCCCAACGTCGGGGGAGAAGCGACTTTCAGCGAGTTCTCTTCAAATTCTCTCCCATCGCATTTTCATTTCCTAGGTTTTGTGATCTGCGATTCTCTTCAGTAGTTATCACTTGTTTTTCTCCTCTTCGTTATCATATTTGCAGTTTTTTTATCCTGATTCAGAGCGCAGTAGAGCAAGTCTCTGAGCTGATCATTATTTAATTGTTAATAGTTCTGAAAGAGGCCTGCTTTGATTGTTTCGGTATGCCAACTTCGATCATTAAGGCTATTATTTATCGCATCCGGGATTCTTCAACTTGGATCATCTGCTTTTTTAATTACTATAGGAGATTAATTCAACAATGCAAATGTTGCTCTATTTGCTGCAACATTTTTTGTTTTTTTTCCTGTGCAAGTGAATGCAATCTTTGAATAATTTAGAATGTATTACGTAAGTGCCAAATTTATGGGAATGTTTGAACAATGCTGTGCTCAAAAAAGGAATTTACTCTTAAAGTGGTGCCATATCTGCTAACATAAATATGATCAATCTCAAATTTAGAGCTATCCATCTTAAAAAATTTCCTTAGTTTTATTAAACATGTTATGAGCAAACATTATGTCTGGGTAACACGTTTTATGTTTTGGTAAAACATCTTATATTTAAGTGGCAAATCTTATCTATATGAAAGTTCTTATTTCTTATATTTGCATGTAGGCCTGACTGAAATGTTGCTTGGTAGACAGAAGCTGTGTGATGGATCATGTTCCCTCGTGATTTGGTATGCTTTTGTAGGTAAAGAGTTTCATTATGGTTCTAGTTTCAGCCAGAACTAAATTAGTTTCAATTAATTTACAGATTTTTAATAGATGTCAGATGTATTGGATCAATTTCTTTGTAAGTTATTTGTAGCCTTGTAGACTGTTGATCTCCCAAGTGGAGTTGTTAACTGCTTATGTGAATTAATTCTCATTTTCAAAACATGTATTGTATTCAAATGCAAGAACTATCTTTGCTTACTTTATTCATGAAATATTTTATATAATTTTTTTTAAACGTTCTTGTTTTTCTCATAATTTTTTTCTTCTCAACAGCCATATGTTTGTATTCACCTTTTGCTGCGCCGGCGGTGGCACCTTATTCCAACTGTTACGCTCTTGATAACAGCAGCCGCCTTGTTGATTTTGTATGCACTGTCATCTCGCTTAAAAGCTAGTGCATGTTGACAGTTTCATCTAATGTGTTTATTCGACTTATGTTTTTTCTTAAATTGCTTTTCAGACAGATTGGATTGGCCATGTTATTACACATGAAGGGAAGGTAACCCCACGAAATAATAATCTTCATTGCTTTCTAGATATGATCCTTATGTTTATATTATTGTCTGTTTTTGATCAACCGAGGGTTGTAGAATATTCTGTACAGTTTTTCTTGTACTAGAAAACCTTTAATACGTGAACCTAGGAAAATTTGAATGGCATGGAAAATTCTTGACCTTTTTTTATAGTTGACTTCCTAATAGACTAATAGTTGCCCTTACTGAATTAGCCAAAGCTTTTGAGTTGATGGGTGTCCATTCATTCTCACTTTTGGTGTCTCTCTCCCTTAAAAAGAGGCATTAGAGCCAATGATTTCAGTATAATAAAGTATTTTTTGTTGTTTTCTATTCCCGCACATCTTGGCAACTTCTACTAGGGTTGAACAGGTGTTGACCTCATTTTTAGTGAGGTCTTAGTCTCCTACTCCCAGAACCCAAAATCTAGCCTTATGAGTTCCTTGTTGACCAGCCTAGCGGACTAGCAATGGAGCCCACCTCCTGTAGAACTGCAAACCACTTCTTGACTCATTTTTGTGAAGAACTCGCATGAGTGGTTCCAAACACTCAACTTCTAGTTGCAAAGGTTAAGGACCAACATGTAGAGGCCCTGAAAATGAGTTCCTATAGGATCAAACTGTCTTAGGTGAACCCTTTGTGACTCGATTACTCGCGAATGCCGCAATTCACGCACTCACTGCACCACACACAACTTTGACTTGAATCGACTCGCCCGTCAGCGAACTCGTCCGGATGACCCCGGATGAAGATGACGAAATAGACCGCGCCGACGCGTCCGGAACGTCAATTTTAGCCTAGACCGCACCGACACGTCCGGAACCTCAATTTTAGCCAGGAAGGACACCCATATTGCTAGGGTTACACGCGAGCACAAATGACACAAAAATCGATGCACGTTTTTTTTAGTGAGCCGCGGGCCCGAACTCAACCCAGGTTCAACTCAGGTTCGATTTGGACTGGACGCAGGCTGAACAAGGGTTAAAAAATTTTGAATTTTAAATTTTTAAGTTTCAAATAGGCATTTAATCTCATTTTAATTGAAAGTTAAAGACTTTACTTTTGAATCTGCTTCATCAATGGAAACCTATTAAGTCCCCGCCAAAGTTTTAGTATAACGGCTTATTCGATTAAATTCAGCCCCGCTCCTGTTCTAAAAGGGGAACGCTGGCTTCTTCCTCGGGCGCTCGACACGATTCGACACCCTGTTTTTTCTCACGCTCGATCCCGTACACCTCCTCCTTCACAGACCGAAATCCTCCGCTCGCTCCTGCTCCCGTCTACTTCCTCTCTCGCGCGACCCAAGACTTCTTCCTCGGGTCTTCTCTGCGTCGAAGACTCTCCCGTTCGACTCCTCCTTCCTCTGTCGCCGAACGGACGAAGCCGCGTTCGACTCTTCCTTCCTCTGCCGTCCGATCGAAACCCCGCTCCGCGCTTCCTTCTCACGCCGAACAGTCGCTTGACGCTACTCCTCCCTGAACCGAAGGCCGCGCTCCCTCTATCCCACTCCGCTCGCACGCTCTCCTCTGCGATTCGACGCTGCGACACGAGCTCCTGTCCCTCTTTCTTTCTCGATCGAAGCCCCATTCGCCTCTCGTCCGCACCGAAGTCGCTGGCCCTCCTCTGCACGAAGCCGCTTAGCCTTCCCGTATACGTCTGATTCGCCTCCCCCTGCTCTCGACAGAACACCTTCGTTCTCTCTATGTCGATCGTCTGCCACACTTCGACGCGCAGGTTTGAACTCTCTGATCCTGATCTTACCTTCTACCTCGATTATTCCTTTCAGTTCACCACAAATCTTTTATCGAAGTATTTGGTTATAACAATTGAAACTTTCTGAGCTTATTGCATGCTACTACTACTGTTCTCAAACTTTTGTTATATCAGTTACTTCTCTGCATATTTCATATGGGTTGGTCTAGCATTGGAGGTAATTTTAATAATGTCTTTTTCTGTTCTTAATACCTGAACATTTTATTTGCGCTTGATAATATTCCAATCTTAATGTTGTCTTCTGAAAACTAATTACATGCTTAAAAGGCCGGTGACGATTGAAATCTTTTTACCGTTGCAGAGTTTTTTTTTTATCGAAATTGTGAAGATCCTTATGTTGGTTAAATGAATTTGCTTGCCTGAATCGATTGTTTGGATAGGAAGAATTACATACATACTACGCAATTCATATGTATTTACATATCCAGCACCCAAGTCTTGGAATCGACTTGTATGTCTAATACCTAAGCTTTGTTTTACACACATGCCACTCAATTGCTATGTGCTTGCATATCTATCACATTGGCTTCAATTTTTACGTGCATATCATACATGCTTATATTCTCTATATATGTGAAACCTAAGCTTTATAATTACACAACTCTGATCTTTAATTCTACGTAAGAGGTACTTCTATTTCGTAATATGAAATGTATCTTTTCATGCTTAGGATTTATATGCTAATTTGGAAATAATTTGGGCACCATTTTGGAGCAATTTCGACATTGTTTTGGGTACTTTTGCTTGCTGATTTAGAGAGGCTTACATAATGTTTTGAGGCGAATTTAAAGTCTGATTTTAACGCATTATTTTGGAGACGCTTTAGGTGCCAATTTAAACTGATTTTGTACACTGCTTTGGAGTCACTATAGGTGCTGATTCGGGCCAATTTCGATCGTTGTTTTGGAATCACTTTATGTGTCGATTCGGGCCGACTTTGTGCATTGCCTTGGAACAAACTTAAGTACTCTTTTTGAGAGTTTATTTAATTACAGGTGTTGAAAGATTTCACACGTTTTTTTAAGGTCTCCCTTGTCTTTACTAGTTTTGGAAGTGGGTCTGCCTCATCTTTTTTTGTTTTACTTCTTATTAAATGGTTAAGTCATAAAGATGGGGATTAATGATTTAATTAATTGGAAGATATAGAAAACCTTAAACCACCTTAAGCATAAGTTAGAGAGTAGGCTTCCTAGAGTTTTAGGAGCACACCCTAGGTGAGAGCCCATCCTCCTAGTCATCACATTCGGATCGATCAAAACACTGTTTTGGAATAGATTTAAGCACTCTTCTCGAGAGTCTATTAATTACAGTTGTTGAAAGATTATAAACACTTTTATGTTGATTCACATGTTATTTCCCCATTAGGTTTGTTAGTTTTGGAAGTGGATCAACCTTATCTTTTTTGCTTGTTTGGTTACATTTTGTTAAATGGTCAAGTCAAAAATGAGAATTTCTGATTTAATTACTTGGAAGACACTTATAAATATTTGAGACTTAGTTGAAAAAACACTTAATTGAGGGTGAAATGTCGTGAATAACTTTAAACAAAGTTAAAACATAGACTTCTAGATTTTAGGAGCACACCCTAGGTGAGAGTTCATCCACCTAATTCTCAGCATAGGCTTCTAGATTTTAGGAGCACACTCTAGTTGAGAGTCCATCCACTTAATTCTCAGCATAGACTTCTAGATTTTAGGAACACACCCTAGGTAAGCGTTCATCCACCTAATTTTTGAATGAATAATGAAACTAGGCACTTCAGCCTAATTCACAAATTGATTAAGACACAAGACATGAGGATGCACCGAGACGTAGTTCATGCTTCCTTAATTAAATCAATAGTGGAATTCTCTCAATGACTTAACCTACAATGAAACCTAGTGCACCAGGATTTGAGCTTGGATATTACACTCAAATCCTCCTGACAATTGAGAAAATTTGTTAATGCCACATATGGATCTTTGGACTAGGATAAGTTTAGGGTCTAAGTGGCGAGGGCAATGACGACATTGCTTATGTGTGCTTAAACGAGGGATACGGAGTGAGATTATTAAAATAGTATCTCTTACCTCAAGGTTCTTCTATAAGAGAGAGGAAATGATCGATGATGCTATTTGCCGACTCTTGGTGGAATCGTTGCCCCCGACACTCCTAGGTTGTCAGTAGTTCTAGCACGATTAGAGTGACCAGCCTGTGGACTATACGAATTTACAAAATATTTACAAAAATTAAAAAAACTGCATAAAAAAGACTTAAACAACCGCTTTTGCATAAAAATCAAATAATTTTTCTATGAAAATTTATAAAAGTTCATGGTTAGTCATTTGGATTGAGGTTAAGAACTAACAACTCTTATTCAAGATCGAGAAGCACACAACCCAGCTCTGAGCCCCCACTTTTATCAATGTCTTATACCCAGTCCTGATCTTTCATATGTGGCTAAGTGTTTCTTTAGCTCGTGATTTTTACAACTTATTTTTATGACTTAATTTTTTTTACAACTCATTTTTCTGACTTTTGCGTTGGGTTTTCTCGCCTTGTTTAATTTTCTTGCAAGTTTATTTAAATCTACTGCAAATCATGCAAATCATACTATGCTCGCAACATTAATAACGCAACAGTAGCAGATGCCCATGTACGCTTTTACAGTTTATTTACAGCATTTTACGTTACTGCATTTTACCTTTCAAGTACTTTTTATTTACCTGCAATTTGACTACTCTGCATGCAAAACCAAAATTGAAACAAAACAAAATCAAAGATTGACACCAAAACTGAGAAGTACAAATCACCAATCTCAAACACTTTAAACACTGGAATCATCGCTACAACAGGAGCTTGGAGCCAACTTTGTGGGCAGCACAACGAGGAATTCAAACCGAGCAGCAAGAGGATCTTCTTCAACATTATCTTTTCCTAGCATAATAACAACCCATAGGACTTCGAGGTAGCTCGCCTAGCGCGACGTAAATCCTCACTCCCTTTTTAGGCTCCTGTACAACCATGTTGTGCAGCGTAAGTCCTAACTCGCCTTAGGTTCCGAGGTTGTCGTGTGACACGACGTAAACTCTCTTATCTTCACAGGTTATTTGCATAATCGGGTATTATGCAAATGTAAGTCCCAAATAATAAAATTGGCAGGGTTGAACATTTTAATAACATCATCTATAAAAATGCAGCCAAACCTTACCTTTTCTTTTCTTTGGACTCCTAAAATAATTGTTCCTATTTGAGCCACTCCCACTTGTTTTTTTCACGTCCTACCTTGAAAACCTGAACCTTGAATTCTTGAAGACTAGAACCACTGATCATTATCGAGAATTTTCTCAACTAACTCCCGTCACTTGGGATGTAATTAACTATAGGGGTATTTTCTCAACTGACTCCCGTCACTTGGGATGTAATTAACTATAGGGGTTTGCCTCTATAGGGAACTTGTAACCCAGGTAAAATAAATCCTATTTAATCTTTGTATTAAATAGGGGAACTTGTCAGTCATACATAAAAGGTTCGCAGACCAAACGTATGTCACAAATCTCTTAGTTTGCAGGATTGAGTTTATCGCCGAGATCTACACTTATCTTTCGGGGGGGTGTAGTATTCGCGGTATCGGGCACGATTATGCAAACTATCAGACTAATGAGATTCATTTGGTCACATTTTTCAAAAAAATTAAAACATACTACTTCAAAAACCTAAACTATATACCTCTTATACTTAAATTAATTATACCATATTTTCTAATAATCATCGAAAAAGTTGACCGACAACAGGTTCAAGTGTTTTTGTCCCCATTGCTTATTTCTTGCCTTGCCACCCTTTTAACATAAGAAGTTTCATGAATTGCTGAAATTCTGTTAGTTGAAGTTCTGAAATTCCCAATTGTACCTTGGAACACGATTTCTATAAAGTCTATTGCATCCTGAACCTTTGTTGCAATTTTCTATGCACCTTGAACTTTGCTATTACTTACATGTAATTTGCTTGAAATGCTGTAATTTGCAAAGCATCCCTTGTATTGTTGTTGAGAAAATGTCATTGTGGTTCCAACCACAGGATATGAGTAGTATCTGAAGAGGCAAAGTGGAAAGCAAGAAATTTGTGGGTTATCTAGGAGCGACAAATTCTTCGCATGTCTCTAGGCCTTCTCAATGACATGGTCTTTGGACCTAAATTCGTTGTAAAGAACACCTGTGTATGTGGTGCTTTCATCCAATTTATGGTTTAATCATCTTCAAAGCACAGGATTTGGTTTGTTCATGGTTGCTACATTAGATTCCTAACATATAAATTGTTTTCATGATCACAGATTCTATTTTCTATCGATTAGCATGTCTTAGGGTTCTCCTCTTCAAGGTGGATTTGATTATCTGAAGCGGTCATACCATGCTTTTGAGTCATATTGGGAATATTTAAAGCCCAATTGAAACACAGAGTGAAAAAGAACATGAAAAAAATAAAATAAAAACAACATTAGAATTTTATTAATGTTCTCCTAATTCATGTCTGCATCTTGTTGCTGTCATTGCTGATTTTACTATGGTTTGATTTTGAAGAAAATACAACCCTAAATACTCATATACACTATAAGATGATGTTTCTTTTGTTTATAAAGAAAAAAAATCTAAGGCTATAAAGTTTCAAAATCACCATTATTGAAATAAACATAAATGTTTAATAGTCGTGGCTAAGTTTGCATATTGTATTTTTTTCATAGGAGAAGGATCCATAACTTAACTAGTCACAACAATGATATTTTGTGACTTTCAACCAAGTTTAATACGAGTCAATTGAGTCTCTAAGCATTGCATGTTCCATATTTATGTCCCTTCACCTTTGAATGATGATTAGGTAAACTTACACTCTTGGCCATTTCCATCTAGTGTGGCATTAGGACTTCATCTTGAGGATGGACACATTCTTGGGGATTTTGCCAACCTAGTCTTCTTGGAATGTACATAAATGGAGGCAATCCCTCATTCCTCTAGCTTCCAATATAATTTTCTTGATAGTGTGGCTAGATCATCTATATTGTTAGTAAGCTGGGTCAACTAGGTTGATATTGAGCAATGGAATCATGAGATAGTGATCAAATTAATCATTTATTATATTCAGTCTATTATAAATACTAGCAATTGTCATGACTTTTTTCAGAGGTTTGGAATTTCAAGGTAGTAATGGATTGCTTGACACTAAAATTCAAATTTTTATTTTATTTTCTATGACTAATGGTAAATAAATCAAATAATTTTAAATAGCCACTAATGATTAAATAAATCTAACATACAATTAGAAATATAATCATCTTCCTCTAGATTGACTGTGCATTATATAATTGTTTCTCTTCGGTCAATCATCTTCTAATCAATGGTTTAAACCTGAAAATGTTATTTTGACAAAGTTATCAATAACTTAGTGAGACATTCCAAAAATTACAGTAATATAAATGACTAAAAGATGCAATATGCATGCTAGTTAAGAATATTCATATTTAAAAAATTATATTAATTTAAGCACAATTGACATCTACAATATTGTTTGCCTTTAAGTGAGGATGTTTTGATCGATTCCGTTGAATGGTCATGGGAAATCTTTGGAATCATTTTAAATCAATATGCCTTTGAAACTCACGTTATAGCCAAAATATGATTAGACGACCCCCTTTTAGAGCCCAATTGAATAAATTGTGTTTGACATGGAAGTTCTCTCATTCTAAATTTGTACCTTGAGTAGTACTAGCTTGATCATGCCCGACTCGTTAGTCCTTTTTTTTTGTTTATTTCATCTTCTGATTAGTTTTCTTAGTGTAATTTGTTGTTTTATCGAATTAATATTTCACATAATTATCGCTAACCTTGGTGTCAATTTTTCTTAAGCCTTGTTCCTTACTTTTGTTCCTATTTGTAAAATTGTTCACTTATTACAAAATTTCTTATATAACGCTTTGTTTGTTTGGATATATGCAATTTTTTTCTTGATGCATGCTTGGAAAGCGAGCAATGGTTATATATTTCATCTATATCTCGAGATTTGCATCTAATGATGTTTATTTGGTCACCATGCAGGATGGTGATTTGGTTGTGCGATTTTGTAAAGACGTTGAATTCCGATCTCAGATGGTATGATGCACAAGTTCTAGTCATTGAATTAGTATTAGTTGAAGTATTTATTTCATTTATTAGATATGCCTTTTTTTGCTCCATTATTTTAAAATAATTTGGCAACAATAATGTGATATACGAATATGTTATATTGACTTGCATAGTTGGGGTAAAATTTATTTTCAACAAAAAATGTCTTGCACTAAAAATTAAAATGATGGTTTTATAAAAATAAACATCACTTTTTATTCATTCTCTTTTTGGGGCCTTTGCATAATACGACCCAATTCCTATGTATTAACATATCAACCACTCAAAACTTCCATTTTTACGTATAATAATACATAGGAATTGGGTGGTAGGTATGTAAATCTCCCGCTTTTATTATGCTTGATCCAGATGCGTTTGACTTTTAAATGAGCATGAAAGAATACTTTCTTTCATTTAAATTCCTTGATTTGTTTCTATCTAGCTTCAAATGCATAAATAGAAACAAAATGGAATCTCTATATTATTTGTGATTTATTTATTCGATGGAGCCGGCAAGATGGTTGATGTGGCCTCATTTTTCTAACAATTGGTATTTCCTATTTTCTACAAAGTGAAAATGTTTTAGAAACTTGTGGTTTAAAGGCAGTGGAATGAAGTTCTTTGCAGTTACTTTTATTTAGATTTTGGGTGCAATTTAGTGCTTTATAAGAAACATATGATCACCATCTATTGCTCCACCACTGATTTTTGGCAGCTTTTCTCTTTTTTAATTGACATTGCTATTGATACTTTTTTTTTATATTGTGTAGGGATACATTGATTTTGGCCGTTTTGGAACTCCTAACTATTTTGTAGCTGGTTCAGGATCTATAGACTTCATTCAGGCAAGTTTGAGCAAGAAAGGCAGGCTCAGCTTAATATTATTATAATGAATTCAAGTTATTCATATCATATACCAATATTCCTGTTGAACTGGACCAGTAATATTGGCTTGATTCTACCACCCATAGATTGAATCTGTCTTCACTTGAACTTTGCTTCTTACTGCTATTTTTGGTTATTGTTCTCACTGAAAAGGCATCTTATGTTTTACTTTAGTAATCATGCAATGAAAAGTTTTATTTAAAGGCAGTACCTTCTTTTCTAAATGTTGAAAATATGAGGGAAGAATACTTCATATTTCTTATTTTAATGAGTAGAATAGATACAATATTTATAGGTGATCATAATCAGTTAAGAAGTTAAGCTAGAATAAGGTAAAAACAATAATGCAATTAACCTAATCAATTTCTATGAATTTTAAATTTATTCCACCATAATGCAATTAACCTAATATAATGGTTGGTGGACTGCATATGGAAGGCAAGAGGGTGCAGATTGCTGGGTTGGTGGACTTCATATGGAAGTTTCGTTGGACTGTAATTCATTTGGATAATAATAACTTATAAATTTTCTCCTTTATTGAGTATGTTAATTTCAACATACTTAGTTTGATCATGATGGATTGAGTTTTTAGCAATGTTAATAGCAGTTTGATTATCAAACTACATTATTATAGGTTTTATTGTGAAAACTAGTATATTTTAAAGAAGGCGTTAAGTCACATATCTTCACAAATATCATGGGCCACACTCTGAATCCTGCATCAACATTGCTCTGGGCAATATGAATTTATTTTTTGCTTCCCTACATCACTAAATTTATTCATTTGAATGAGCAATAAGTTGATGGATTTACATATCTATCACAGATCTATTTCGATTAACATCAATGAAGCTTTATATACCTATGTTCTTTTTTGGTTTCCCTTTAAAGGTATCTTAGTATCCTATATACATCATAAATATGTTTCTATATGGGGTTACACATAAATTGAGTAACAATATTAATGGGAAAGCAAATATTAGGTCTACTGCGAGTCTCTGACAAGTTGTTGGCAACCACTTTCCTTTGTTAGTTGAAGTAGACTCTTCTCTGGTTGCAACTTTATTTATTGGATTCATCGGCGAAGGTGTGTTTTATTGCCATTAGTAAGTCAAAGGTGTGTTTTTATTGCCAGACACCCCTCTAATTAATCTTGCTAATTCCATGCATAAGAATTATTTTAATAAATTAATGTCCTTTTTTTCAAGTTCTTTAGTTAGACCTTACAACTTATTTATTTTATTTTATTTTTATTTTGTTAAGATGAATTGTCATTATATATGATCAAAATAAAATTTTTCCTTCAAATAATTTCTTGGTGAATTTGTCAAATCAATTTGTTAATGATTGTTTTAAATCATATAGAGATTTCTTGAGTTTGTAAACTCAATTCTTATTGTTCATCCTTCAAATTGAGGAGGAATCATCACATGGACTTTATCTTCTAAATTTCATTTAGAAAGACAATTTTTACATCTAGTAGGCACAAACAATAAGAGAGAAAATTGGGCTGATAGTCTTCATCTTAGCAATCAGGACAATGGTTTCTTAATAATCAATCCTGTAGGTTTGAGTTAAATTTTAGCTATTAATCTTGGGTCAACACTTCTATCGTCTTTGTATTTTATATTGAAGATTTTTTTGCATCTAATAAATTTCCTCCCTTTGTGAAGACTTGAAAAGTTTCACGTATCATTTCTTTTGAGAGCTTTCATTTTTTTTCATGCATGGCATTTTCCCATTTAGGTATTTCTAAGACATCGTGAATATTGTTGGGAATTTTTATGCTTGAAGACTTGTAGTAAGGGCATGGAACTTTAAAGATATGTTATCGGAGATATAATGATAAATTGAGAGATTTATGCTAAGGCTTTCTTTGGTCAACTATTAGGTTTGGTTTTGGGACAGGCTTCGCTCTATCTTATTGGTTGATTTTTCTTATTGTTTGGACAAAACAATCCCTATGTCCTATACTGTTTGTATATGATCTTCAAAAGGCCGAGATTCTAATGGTTAAGATTCAAGTATATGTTTGAAAGATGCGTAGGCTGAGAGATCAATAAGGTAAAATTGATATCACCTTGAGTTGATATTATTCACCTGAATGTGAGTTTTTGAGAAAAAAGATTATTTTTGATGAATGTTACATCTGTTTTGGTATAATATTTTTAGTATTGGGAGAATAATATTTGTATTGTTGTTGGTGAGGAGAGTAGTTAAAGAAAATGCATGTTTCAGCTTTTGTGTCTAGTTGATATTTTGACAAGGAAGCATATGAATAAAGGCATAGCATTTCATCCCTCAAGATGAATGGTGGTGATGCATCTACATTTGGATAAGCTTAGGTGAGGATTTGAGGAGTTTTAAAATTTAGGATTATTAATGGTATACAGTTAATGAGATATGTAGTAGCAACGATAACGTCCTCCACTATTATTTTCAGATGTTACTAGTGATTGTAATTAATTAAGCCATCTCCATAAAATGTCCATCTTTTCATTAATTAAGTTATTGGATTTGTTTAGAAGTATCAATACAAAAAGTTTGTTAATATATTATTTGTTAGAAATATTCTTCAATGCAAATTTTATTTATCTTCGTCTATCCCAAGGATTGAAAATTGGATTTGGATTCAATTTTTGATGGAGTTATATCTTTAAAAGATAGAATTGATTTATGTTATGTCTTTTTGATGCGGAGCTTACCGCTCAAAATTTTTGCGACACTGTAGCTACTATAGTATTGCAGGAATGGCTATGGGGGAAGAGACACTGAAATAACCCCGTTTTCCTTTTTTATGCTTTCATTTATATTGTCCTTCATTCTTTTTTAGTCATTTTTTATATATGTGCTGTATTAGTATTTAGAAATTATTTTTTTGTGTGTTTTGTATCGGGACAGCCGCCGACGTCTCTTCTTCCCTTCGAGGGCTGTATCATAGGGTTCCAAATGGTGCTTCGGCTGTATCTTGATTTCTAGGTGGTGATTTTCTTCCCTATCCCTTTCTGCAAGTCTCTCGCTTCGCTATCATGACTTCCTTTTCACTGCACCCGCCCCGACAAGAGTGCCGTTGCTGTCTTCCTGTAGTTTCTCACCGTCCAAACATCCTTCTCTTTGCCTCAACCTCTAAATAGCCCCCCTTTGGCTGTCTCACAATCCCACGCTTTCACTGCCGCCGCCTCCGCCTCCGCAGTCATTCCCACTCACTGTCGCCACCCGGAAACAACCATCAGGTCTGTTTTCTGTTGTTCCTGCCACCTAGACAACTGTTTTCCCTCATTCCAGTTTGCTGCCAGTGCCGCATGCCTTCTGCTTGCTGTTTTTCTATTGTCCAGCCGCCCCAAACAGCCAAGTGCTACTTCCAGCCGCCCCAAACAACCAAGTGCTGCTGTTTGGGTTGACGCCTCCTGCTGTTTCTTCCACCCTTAATTGCTGCTTCTCTTCATCCACAACCCGAAAACCCCTTCCTTATCTTGTCGCTACCCCACTAGGCCCTCTGACTGTCACTACCTTCACTTGATATCTGCCCTAACATGAGTTTGCATGTTGTGTGTGTTGTATTTTCCCTTTCAAGTGTGTTTGATTGTAACCGCCTATTTGCTTCTAGTAATAATATTTGCTTTTCCAAATGTGGTTTGAGTTAACTCTGATATCACTTTCACTAGGAAGATTTAAATCATTTTAGTGTGTTCATCAATGAAAGACATAAATCTCCTATCATTTGAGGTATTATTTTTCTGAGATCTCACTATGAATAGCTGCAAAAGGTTGGAAAGCTTTATAAGGATGATTAGGGTAGAAAGTTGGAGCGTGCTTAGAGAATTGACAAATGTAACACTAAAATGCTTAAGAATTTGTGTTAATGAAAAGAATGGGAGATAATTTTGTAAGCATATTAAATTTTAATGACCAAGGTGAAAGTGTCACAATTTTATTATGCTTCCTTCAGAAGATGGTACATATTAATTATTTTTCTCTTATTTTTTGGGGACCCCTTCTTAAAGTTAAGAACTAGTGAGCTTGTGATGTTGCTTGTCTTAATTCTTACTAGTTGCAATATTAATCCACCGGTAATTTTGAGTTTATAGTTCTTTAAACATTTAATTAGAAGCTCTAGAGTCCACAATCCAAGATTATGTGTTTATGTTTTGGATATTGAAGGATATCAATATCATACTTTTTTGAGAAATTTCACCTATGATGATTTTTAGTAGAGAAAGTTTTGGTTTGAAGTTGATATTCGACAACATAGAGAAGGATTTATAGATACCCTTGTTACCATGGGATTTTGATTTATGACCGGAGGCAGCGCTTGAGGAGGATCTTTTTTCTAGCGCCATTTCAGGTTTAACCCTCATCATGGTTTGAATAAAAAAATCCATAGTGGAAGGATGAAGATGACTTCAAATTTTGAGAGGTTATGAAAGTGAAGTATGAAAGAGAATAGAAAAGGATAAAAATTACATTAAGTATAAAAGATAGAGAATAGAAAACAATTAATGATAGAGAAATGATGCTCTTACACCTTGTTGATAATATAAGAGAATAATATTTATTTTTTTTATTTCAATGGAAATGATAGATATAACATTTATATGTAAAATAAAGCCGATTAAGAATGAAAAAGTAGAAATATACTTAACCTAATAAATTATAATGAATTTTATTCTATTCTAGGAAATAATGATCGGTAGATTGCGCATTTTAAAGCTAAGGAGGGTGCGGACTGTTGAGTTGGCGGATTGCATATGGAAGGCAACAGGGTGTGGATTGCTAAGCTGGATGATCTTATGGCTGAAAACTTTTTCCAAGACTGCAAACAGCTTTGCAAGGTGCAGAATAATCTCAAGTCCCAATTTTTTTCATTATTTATCAAGTTTGACTGGGGCTTGAGCATGCCCTCCCGGGGACTATTCATATGCGGCTAGTTTAGTCTTATTGTGTTTCATTTTTTCAATTTAGCTCCTTGACTATTCAAAATTGATCCAAATGCTCCCTCAGAGATTAAATTAGGATCAATTTTAGATCATATATTTTACATGAGAGTCCATTTTGGACCAATTTTATATAATTAGGGGATAAATTAGATAAATTTGATACTCATGAACCAAGTTGATAAAAAACAATTAGGAACTATTCTGGGATTTAATCATAAATTTATATGTTAAAAACCTTGTCTAGAAACCCTTAATATATCCATGAGTTTTGATTAACATGAATTCACTCTGCACCCAACTTACATGTAGAAGTTTGTATATTGTTTAATATTCAGTACACGGTGAATTTGCATATGCTCGGTATTTGTATTCTTCGTTCTGGTCTTCAAAAATAGCTTTTCACATTTGGTTAACACTTAAAAGAGAAAAACTGGTTAGAATGGCATGCTTATAAACAAGATTTGATTTCTATAACTTTTTTTCACTGTATTTAGTTTTACCTTTTAGGGATTTTACAATGGAGACCTCACAAATTGCGAACATACATTTGACAAAATGGGCCGCTCATCTCAGGTTGATTACGTATTATTTTATCTGATTTTAGAACTTCTTGATTTGTTAATATATTGCTGTACATTTTATGCATATTGTTTCAGTTTCGTTACTAATCTTTTGTCAATAAATTTCAGGTAAACATTATTTGTGGAAGCTGCTTAAGTGGAGGAGGGTGTAAAGGTGTGCATTGGCTTTCTTATAGTTTATCATTGTCTTTCTTCTATGGTGTGGTATAACATTCTAGTGCTAATTTGTAAATTATCTATCTTCTTGATGAATTTTTTGTTCAGGCTTTTTCTAATTGATTCTCTATTTTCGTTTGTTCTTTAAAGATGCTGATTTATGCCGTTATTTGTTATAAATATTTATGGGATGTAGTTTTCAGTTGAATCAGTCTCAAGTGATTTTCTGTAAGCATTATTTTAGTGATTAGATATGAGAAGTGGCATAAAGATTGTAAATATATCTATTTGCTTTTAGATGAGGTTTGTGCTCTGCACATGATATGAGAAAAGACATTGCTCCAATGGGAAGAAAAATATTGTTTATATAGAGGATACGAAACACAATTAGTGAAACAAGGAAGAGTGAAAACTCTCTATAAGGGAGAAACAGGAAAACAATAAACAAAAATATTTCCCTGATTGGACTAGTTGGTACTTCTGTACCCGATCCCTCGGGATGCTTACCTGGTACATTAGCTGTCTGCCTCCATGCAATATTTCAATATCAATTGATAATCATTCCTGTAATATATTTTTAACGATGGACTCATCATTTTTATGTTGAAGTGATACTATTATCCCGGTATATAAAAGCTAAATAGGCCTCTACCTCTATGATGAAGAGTAATATGAGTTGCTCTCACATTAGTTTGGACATGGTTTCACATTTTATTTTTGATTGAAATTTATTGCCTTTTGCAGGTCAGTTTGGTTGCATTTGCGGCATAACCTATGACGAATCAAAATGCCGGTATCTATATAGTGGATTTTTTTGCTGTTGTTCACACTAACTTAAAAATGGCACAATATTCAAGCAAGGCAGTTCAGTTGATTTTGTGATCTTTAAACAGTACTTGATGCTTTGTATTATGTATAATCTTGTTTATAGTGATTTTTGGTATGCTCATATCTATGCTTGACATCATTGTTTGCAAGTTGCATCTATCACCTATATTAATCGAATCAGCACTAAGCATTACTATTTTGAAGATTTGTCTTTTATGTTCTACCTTCTATTTATGCCAAGCAATTTTTTTTAACGTGTATGAGATGGGCTAGTTGGTTGCAGTGGATATAACTTCAAGTTTGCACATTTGTGCTTATACTTTGGAAAGTTGACTGGCAATGCAAATTAGTTTTCTTTCTTTTAGCTATTGACGGAAAAAATATGTAGCTTGGCAAAAACGCCTCCTTGGGGACCCTCATTAATGAGAGTTCCATGCATCGTGTATGCCCTTTGTTAGTCATTGTACTTTGGTTGGGATAAGGAAACATAGTGGTTACTTTTAACCAATAACAGACTTCTGCATTTCTCTTTTAGCATGTTAGAGTCTCATGATTCTAATTTGTGGTTTTAAGGATGGTTGTCTGACAATGTTCTAGGCTTCCTAGAAGTGGTATGGGGATCAATTTTAGCATTTGGAATATTTATACGATGACAAGTGCGAGAAATCTTGGAGAACGCTAAGTTGGAAGGGGGAAACTGATGTTGACTGTTGTCTTGGAGGAAAAAGAATAAGGAGGGGCATGGTTGTCGGTTATGGCAGCGATGTACAGATATCGGAAGGTTCCACCATCCATTTTCTTGAAGACATGGACTCACCACTTAAAGAAGAATAGACTATTGCTCTCCGAATAAGAGAAAACAGACAAATTAGTCTCCAAACAACATAAACTATAGCAAAATGTTTCCCAGCATATGTGCCCCGCTTGGACGGATGTTTTCACCTCACTCTCCTCAGTGAGCTTTGGGATCCTTATAGTATGGTGATAGGTCAACAAAGTTGAAGATAGCATAAATGTTATAGTCCATCGACAAATCAATCTTGACACTCATTGTCATTAATCTTCTTTACAATCCTGAGCTAAACTTGTGTTTTTTAAAAACACATATATGAAATATCTCATTCAGTCTGATCCATACCAAGCCACATTCTCTGAAGACCAGTCTTCTTGGACTTTATAGCCCGCTTCTAATACTTAATATTCCGTTTGACAATTTTCTTCCTCACCTGCTTATGCGGGGTCTAAATCTCAGTGAATCTAACCTTTGCTTTAGTGATAAACTCAGTAGGTGGAAGTGTCAACACTAACTCCAATAATGTGAGATAATTTTGCATGTATTCAATCTCAGAGGGATTTTGACCTGTGGACTGACTAGTGGATCTATTTTAGTTAAACTCAACCCAAGGAATAACCAAATATCACTGCTTGATGTTCTTTCCCACAAAATACCTGAGGAGATTTTTCAAATTGAGATTCATCACCTCCATCTGTCCTGCTATTTGTGGGTGTGCTGCTGAATTGAACTGGAACTTTGTACCCAATTTACCTCATAAGATCCTCCAAAAGTGACTAAGAAATTTCACATATATGTGTGAAGTGGTTTGGGGTACTCCATGGAGATGGACTATTACCCTAAAGTATGCATCTGCAACATGTGAAATTTTCATCATCTTATGATAATGTACTAAATGTGCTAATTTGGAGAAGTGGTCCGCCCCTACTATAATGGATCATTCCTTTATTGGGTCCCTGACAGACCCATAATGAAGTCCATGCTCACATTCAACTAAGGTGATTCTGGAACAGAATGGGGAGTGTACAAAGCCATATTTTGCCCTTGGGTCTTGGTTTTATACCTCAAACATGTCTCCACAAACCTCGTATTAACCATGGCCAATAAAATATCTCTTTCAATAAGAAAGGAGTCTTGTCCCTCAAAAGATCTTGCCATCCTCTATTGTGGCATTCTTACAAAATGTTCTCCCCGAGTGGATTCTTAGGAATGCGCAGTTTTTTATGATAAAACACATTAACTATATGATCCATGAAGCAGTTTGTATGGTCTTTCCTGGCAACAAACTTAATTCTCCCAAAGGTATTTATTAGTGGCATATGCATCCTTTAATACCTCAAAATTAATTACCTTTAAGTGTATAGTAGTGATCAATAAATGATGACAGCTCAACGCATCAACTACCTTTGTTTTGACTCCCATTTTATGCTTGAATACAAAATAGAATGAAGACAAACTTCACCCAAAGGGCATGTATATTTGTCAACTTGCTTTAACTATTCCGGAATCTCAAGGCTTCATGATCTTTCTAAATATTGAACTCACTCGCTTGTAAACTTTCACAATGACACATAAATCCTTATTGTAGGTATGGAATCATTTAATTTTTCACTACAGAAGACGATGATACAGCCACCTTGACTTAGCACAACTTCAATCCCTACATTAGAGATGTCACACAACACCTCAAACACTTGATTCAAGTCTGGAAGAGCTTGAATTGGGCTCTGGGCAACCTATTTATTTTGTAATAATCTACAAAATCCAAGTTTCTCAATTTACAAGATCTCTTAACTACCTAAATTTTAAATCAAAATATTCTTAAAATAAACATTTACTCTCATATACATATACATATATATGCATATGTATAAATGTTTATATACATTTTCAATAAGAAGGCAAGGTTAGCTTTACATTTTCAATTTAAATGATCATGCTAAATATGAACGGTATTATTGCTTTGAATGATCATTTTATTTGAAGAAATGTTTGCACATGATCTTTAATAAGTGCAATTCAAGTTATTAATTTTTTAATATTATGCTGAGAGTATTTCTATTAGAAAGGATAACATAATGAAGGGACAAAGTGATTGTTTGTGGAGAAGTTGCTCCAAAATGATTTATATATTAGCATAAAGTGTCAGAAGTACAACTTTAATCTCAAAATCTGATATTTGATTTTATTTTTTAAGAATGGTGGTGGCTAAACTGAAGATTCTACTCACACATAATTTTTCATAACTACTGCCACATTTGCTCTAATCGGAGAAAAAAACTAACTTTGTCAAGACATCCCTCATTTTTAACCAAGTATATAGATGGAGGTCGGAGAATTGCCGGATGGAATGATCAGAATAGGTAGTTTTTTGGGTGTTGTTTTACATAGGGCTTTCTCCATTGACAGGTTTTGAACAACACTAAAGTACTATAGGGGACAACCGGAAGCCAAATGCCTGCTCGAGAAAAACATAGAAGTACTATAGGTGACAACTGGAAGCCAAAGTTCTTCTCAAGTGAAATTTGGTGATTATGAAGGGGCTATTGACTGAGGATGGTCCGGGATGGGAGACGATATGCTTTATAATGGTCAGCATGGTTGGCAGAGGAATAGCCTTAGATTTGGACAATGTGAGGGAGGGAGATCAAATTGAAAACTATTTTATCACATTTTTCTCTATGAATTAGTGAATATTTATTTTTGTGTGTGCGATTGTGCATGTAGGTTAATCTCATTGAACCACAAATATTCTTTGAAGATGTTTTCACCATGGATTAATTTGCTCATTCTTGTGATCATCATTATTTGGCTTTGTTTCTCTTATGCAATGAGATGATTAGTATTATGTCGATGTAAAATTTCCCCTTCTATGAACTAGGATTCTCGTTGAAATTGCAATCCCATGTGCCAGCCGTGAATCCCGAGTCTTTGAAGGATTTACTGTTGGTTTTCATCCCCGGTCATGGGAAGTAGTAAGACTTTTTTTTTTATTTTTTGTTTTATTTTTTTTGCGTTTTACTTGCTTTTTGGCTATGTGAGTTAGTTTACTGTTTGATTGTAGGTTTACAATGGCTTGACTCAAATAGGTTTTGAAAAACCTCATCGTGACTTCAGGTATCTATTATATTCTATTTTTATTCATTTCCTGTGTTAAAAAATCGAACTTCTATACAAATTATAGTCTGGCTTCATCTGTATTCTTCCCCCACCTAACATTTTCTACTAGAATCCTATTGCTATTTGTTGGAAAGTTTGTGCTTTTGTTGAAACGTATTAGTTGTTCCATATTTGTTAATCTCCTTCCTTGTGGCTTCCATATAATCCTATTTCTCTAAGTTGACAAATTTATGCCTTTGTAGAAGCTTTATATTTGACATCTATGTGGGTAAGCTTATAACTTCATTATATTCATTACGTGGTGATAGAAGGCTATCACATGCTCATAAACAATCATTAAATTTGAAGGGTAAATTGCACATAAACCAATCAGATAAGAGGGACGTCAATTAGGTCCTTTTGTAAGATACTCTTGCTGCGGAACTTGATCTATAATCATCTTTGAAAATGCAATATTTTTTTTTGCTTTGTGTTCATCATGGTTTTCTCTATTTATGAATTGCTAGAGCTTATTTTTGCTTTCCTGAAGTAACAGTATAAGATATAGTAGTTGGTGATATTTAATAATGTATGGTACAAATTAATGTGCCAGTTATTAACTTAGGTTCTGGAGCCGATCATAAGATTCAATGCAGCTCATGATATCCTGTGGCCATCTCGGGCTTCAGATTATTCAGAGTCATTTTAGATTTGTGATTAATGAAAACAATTTTAGTTGAGCTTTTCTAATCCTATCCTGTTCTTATCAAATTAACCTTAGAAGCTGATTTTTCAAGACTTTTTTTAAGGAGATCATATTATGGGGAATCGGGATGGCTTTTTTGATTAGATGCTGATTTCTATGCTCAATTTGATTGTTTCAAGGAACCACTTGTAAATCTGGTTTGGGTTGCTTCTCCTCAGCTTCAAATCTACTACTAGAAACATTTTGCTCTGTTTTCTCTTGGTTTTTTATTTTATTTTTTTATATATTGAGAATTGTTTCAGGTGGATGTTGTTATTGTTAAGCCATTTAGGGCATCAATGGCTAGGTCCTGGTTGAAATTGCATTACTATTACTTCGGAGAAAGATATTTGAATTGGTTTTACTGCTTATGGTTATTGGCATAAGGTAGAATTTGAGGGCATATCTTAATATTATGTTGCAAAAGTTTGGTCAAAACTGTTCAGGAGGCTTCAAGGCTTGCCTAGAATTGAGAAAAAATCATCTTTTAGTGATCCAAGCAGTCACGTTATTGGGCAGCATTCATATGAGAAAAACAGAGCTTTAGACATTGTGGTTGTAGTTTTTCCTACTTTTGATTTGGGTTTTAACGCAAAAGTTTGGATCTACTTTAGATCTTGTCATGGAATCAGGCCTTCCCTCGGTGTCCTTACCCCGACAGAGTTGATTGAGACAACATCAACATGCAAGATCATTGATCTAGATCACCAAATGTTTTAACTTCATGATCATCTTATTATTGAGGATATTGGTGATCTAGATTGTAGGTTTGTTTTTCTTTTTTTTTCCTTTTTTTTAATAGATTATAGTACTTTGGTTGTTAACTCTGTCATTGCTAGTCCCAAGCCCAGATGTTAAAAGTGGACGGTTGTGTAAAACTTATCGAAAAAATCATGACATGAATCCTTTTGATCATTGTGTAAGTGCTAGGGCGTCCCCTAGAAGCGACACGCTGTATTGTCAGAATACAATGAAAAGTGTGCAAGGGTTGCTATATCGGCGTTCGTGTGTAATAGTGTCAAACAAGCAAGAATTCCCACATTATGGACGAATGCGGGTAAAAAAGTTAGTCTATGAAACTAATATTCGGATATGATCTTGGAACATAGATACTCTTATTGGTAAATTAGTGGAATTAGTTGATTTTATGATTCATACAAAGATAAGTATTTTATGTGTTCAAGAAACTAAATGGGTTGGAGAAAATGCTAAGGAGATTGATAACTTAGGTTTTAAACTTTGATATTCAGGTAAGAGTCACACTAGAAATGGGGTAGGTGTTATTATAGATAAGAGTTTTAAAGATAATGTTGTAAAAATTAATAGAGTTGGAGATAGAATTATAGCCCTCAATATTATTGTTGATACTAAGATTTTTAATATTATAAGTGCTTATGCTCCTCAAGTAGGCTTAGATATAGGTTCTTTCTAAAGATAAATTTTGGAATAACTTAGAAGACTTCATACAAATGATACCTCTTGAAGAAAGAATTTTTATTGGAGGAGATTTAAATGAACATGTCGGTAGAATGGTAGAAGATTTTAGAAATATTCATGACGGCTACGATTTTGGAGTGATTAATGAAGAAGTTAGAACTATATTAGATTTTGCTTTAGCGTATGATTTTTTTGTTGTTAATACTTTATTCAAGAAAGAGATGAGCATATTATTACTTATAAGAATAAATTTAATAAAACATAAATTGATTATTTTCTTATGAGAAGAAGAGATTGTCGATAATATAAAGATTGTAAGGTCATTCCAAGTGAGAATTTAAGTACTTAACATCGATTATTAGTTCTAGATTTTAAAATAAGAGTTGTAAAATAATGAATACTAGGAATCATTGTCGTAGAATTAGATGTGGACATCTAAAAGACACAAATAAAATTATTTTTATGAGTAAAGTTTAAGATTTCAAAATTTGGGATGTTTTTGAAGAAGCAAATTTTATGTGGAATAAAGTAACAAAAACTATTAAACAAGTGACAAAAAATGTACTTGGAGAATCAAAAGAAAAAATTTATATAAATAAAATTGGTTGGTGGTGGAAGAATAATATGGAAGAAAAGATAAAATATAAAAAGATATGTTATAGAAATTGGTTTAAATGTAAAAGCTTGGAGAACTGAGTAAAATATCAAACGGCCCGCAAGAAGTCTAAGAGAACAATCTGTGACGCTAAAAATTATGCTTTTAGTGATCTTCATAATAGATTAGATACTAAGGAGGTTGAAAAATATATGTATAAACTAGCCAAACAAAGAGAAAAAAAAATAAAGATTTAACTCAAGTAAAGTGTATTAAAGATGAAAATAAAAAAGTATTTTTCTTAAAAAAGATATTCAAAATACGTCAGTGAGTTATTTTGATAAATTTTTTAATGAAGTTTCCGAAAATACGATCGATCTTAGTGACCTTAATATCATTAATAATAATAAAATATTTCATTAAATGTTTCATTTTTACCGTTGCATTAGTAAAAAAAAAAGTTGAGGAGGCTTTAAAGAAAATCAATGTTGGAAAGTTTGTAGGACCTGATGATATCCCAATTGAAGCGAGAAAATATTTAGGAGATTTAGGAGTTTATTGGCTTACTAAACTTTTTAATATTATTTTAAAAACTAAAAAGATGCTTGAGGAGTGGAGGAAAAGTATTTTGGTTCCCCATTTTTTAAGAATAAAGGAAATGCACAAGAGTGTGCCAATTATAGAGGAATTAAGTTGATGTGTCATACTTTAAAATTATGGGAGAGGGTAATTGAACATAGATTAAGACGTATTACAAAGATTTCTCATAATCAATTTGGATTTATGTTGGGCATGTCTATTATGGAAGCTATACATTTATTGAGAGGTTTGATGGAGAAGTTCAGAGATAATAAGGAGAATCTACATTTGATTTAGAAAAAGCTTACGATAAGGTTCCAAGAGACATCCTTTGGAGAGTTCTTGAGAAGTAAGGTGTTGATATGACTTATATTCAAGTCATTAAAGATATGTATACTAGAGCTGTTACTTATGTTCGAACTGAAGGAGGATTGACCAAATATTTCTTATTTCTGTTGGATTACATCAGAAATCTGCTTTAAGCCAATATCTTTTTGCTTTAGTTATGGATGGTCTTACTGGATATTTACAGGAGGATGCACCTTGGCGTATGCTTTTCACTGATGATATCCTTCTCGTGGATAAGACAAGAGAAAAAGCCCAGAAAAAACTTGAATTATGGAGGTCTACACTTGAATTATGGAGATTTACCTTGGAGTCTAAAGACCTTCGTTTGAGTAGAACTAAAACTGAATACATGGAATGTAGTTTTAGTTGTAGTAGCTCTAGTGACAAAAATATAACTATGGGTGATCAAATTATTAAAAGTTGTGTGAATGCTTTAGATATCTCCGATCTATTGTTCAAAGTGATAGTGATATGGATAGGGATGTTATTAGGAGAATTCAAGTTGACTGGTTGAAGTGGAGGAATGCTTCGGGCCTATTATGTGATAGAAAAGTACCACTTAAACTAAAAAGAAAATTTTATAAGATGGTGGTGAGACCTGCATTGCTTTATGACGCTGAATGTTGGCCTTTAAAAGAGAAGCATAAAACTAAGTTAAGTGTTGTCGAGATGTGAATGATTAGGTGGATGAGTGACTTTATACTTAGAGACAAAATGCGAAATGAATACATCTGTGATAGGGTTGGTGTAGCTCCAGTGACGGACAAAATTAGAAGAGTTGTCTTAGATGGTTTGGTCACATTAAACGTCGTCCATCTGATGATCCGATTAGAAGAGTAGATGTTTTAGATTTGACTTATGTTAAGAAAAGCAGAAGTAGACCTAAGATGACCTGGGCATATTATATAAAAAATGATCTTAATTTATTAGAATTAAATGAAAATATGATACTAAATAGGACACAATGGAGAAAAAGGTTTTATGTAGCTGACGCCACTTAGTGGGATAAAGGTTTTGGTTGTTGTAGTATTTTGGTTGCTATGATTTTTTTCTAATATAGAATCACTAGATGATAAATTGTTTGAATATCTTTTGACTATGATAGAAATAAGAAGAAAGTATATTGCTACTCTCCACGATTTAGCAAACTTTGAACAAGATGCTATAGATGAGGACTCGTGGGCTCTTCAAACAAGATTTTGTAAATGAGGACTCATGGGCTTCCTCTCTTTCATCAAAAGGGCTCTTTCTTTTTTGTTATCTGGTTATCTTGGATGGTTTATTTTAATCTCCTCCCTTTCCAGTTGCAATCTT